AGATTAATTTGATGGAAATGTAAATAGTATTTACTATTAGAATGCTATATGTATTGGCCTATTGAGAAACCTCGATACTAATGTGTATTTTGAGATACTGTTAAGTAGATATCTTGGATGCGCGGCGTGTTGATGAGCACGGCTCGCCTTTCTTCGGCAGAGATAAGAAATGCTATCGTCCGGTAAAGAGTCTGGCGTTTTTTCAAGAGCACCTGTAAAAAATAAAGTTGAAGAAGTGTTGATAACGGGTTGATAATTCCCAATCGAATATATAAAATACTGCCACGAGGCAATTAATAATAACTAATAGTATGCTGATTTACTCTCGACTTGAACTTTGAAAGCTTTCTAAAGTGCTTTGTTCCTCGATAATAAGTAGCAATTCATTCATTCCTTATTAATAATTATTTTTTTTGTAAGAACTAAAACGAATACATTGAAAAAGTTGATATCAGAAGAGCTTAAGCGTTTTTACGCAATCAAAAGAATGCATCTTGTGCTATTAGATAATTCAATGTGCACTTGAAACAGATATCACAAGCTCTCGAGTATCATTACGATAAATAGATGAGCAATAATGTTCTTTTGTAGCGTCGAAGAGATAAAAGCCAATGGAATGAATCCAGGGTGATTACGCTGCGCACGCAATCGTAGACATTAATCGGATTTGTCCCTTTGTTTCTATCTTCGTAAAGGGATGGAAGGTACAAACGTGTTGGTACCGCGCGAATACGTTCCAGAATAATTGCGTCACCGTCGACTATTTCGCATCGCTGCTCGAACATCGGCTACCTTTTTTTGGTCCGGTTGAGATGAGGCGGCTAGGCTTGTTTGCTCCGTAAACTGACAAAATTCGTTACAACGGCGGTGCCGGATAGAACATGTAGCTCGAGCTCGGCAATTAATTCCATCCATCGTTCGACTGACCTCTTCGTGCGCACTCTGCGGTCGTTCGTCTCTCAAATGGACGCGGGATCGTTTGCGTATTTCGCATTGAAATACCGACGGTGCGCGGCGTACGTTGTTTTCGCTCGTCATCCGCTCATTCGGGCGATTCCCGCATTTTCTCGCCAACGATTCACCAAGCACGAACGTACGTTTATTCATACGAAAAAATATTTGAGAATATTCTCGAGCGATCTGCCGGGCCGGCGCCGTTTTCTTTTTGTCCCGTCACTATCTGTTCCTCGATCGTTTTTAAATCCCCGCCATATCTCCGCAGGACCGATGCTCCGTTTTCTGCGCGCGGCATCGCAATTCACGCTCGATTTAACTGGCAAAACGAGTTTCTGCGCGAGCATTGTCGCGACCTCCGAACGCCATAAGACCGCCTTCGGGGCACGAAATCATCCCATTCGTCGTTCTCTCTACTTTTCGTGGCGAGTTCAAAGCCGTTTAAATCTGATCGTCAAGAGAAAAGAGGGTGATACAGGTAAAAGAGAAGTACGTAATTTTGCTCGAATGTTTTTGCGCCGTTGTCACAAAGGCTCTGCGTCGTGATTCGTTGTTTCTCCAATTCAGCTTCGGTGTCTTGACTCCTTTGAGAGAGAGAAAGCCCCACGGCTTTCGGGAAACCGTCAAGTACAATCTGAGACGTCCATCGTCATTCTCGATATCCGCATAATTTTACTTTGTCACGGTAGTCATTCCAACTAGACGAACGTTTCGCAAGCAACGCCGAACTTGAAGAAAGAGATTGCGGAAGAAATTGTGTCGACGTCTCCGTCTATTTTCTATTCGTCTATCTGTCGCTCTTGGATATCTCCGAGTGAATTTAAACGGATATGAAAGAAACGTGATTTTATTTGCGTATGTGCATGTGGCATAGAGTCGCGTAGATTCGAGTCTTTCTACATATCCGGCCTCATATGCAAATATATTTGGGAAGATTGCGACGGGATTTTCTCTGGACTTGACCGTGTAATGCTGCAGTATAAATCCAAGGAAAATGTATTCCACGGTCGACACGGTTGCTGAAGAGCATATTTGATACGGTGGCAAACGTTGTCGCGCTTACATAGAAATATAGTGTCGTATATGTCGATTAACACCTTCGTCGCTATATTTAAGGTGTTGTATGCGCGAATCTTTTAAACGCTACTTGTGAGAACTTGTAAAACTATAATTTATATTTCTTAATTAAAGAAACGTTAAACTCATTGAATATTCTTTCTTAATTATAAAAATATTAAACTTTTTTTTTCATTTTTTTGTAAAATATTTATTATAAGGCAAGTTTTAAAATACTCATACATTGCGTTTCAATTTTGTAGTTCTTTTTTTTAATTTTGCGTTAGTTAAAATATTAAATGTGATTAAGGCAAGTTTTAAAATACTCATAGATTGCGTTTCAATTTTGTAGTTCTTTTTTTTAATTTTGCGTTAGTTAAAATATTAAATGTGATTTATAAAAAGCGTAAATCTCATTGACGTATTTAAAAGTGGAAATGCGCGAAACATTGTCAACTATCGACGACGTTCAAGGTTGAATACAAGGTTTGAAACGCAGTAGTAAATGTTTTCATGCGAATGTAATCAGAGGCGCCAACTTGGCGCGGACTCGTTCGCTCGCCTCGTTTTACTTACTTACATGCATGCGTTCTCCAGGTGCATTATTGCGGGAAGGTACAGCGCAGCACGCGGGAATTACGGGTAAGAGGAAAATGCGCCCGATGTTTAAGCGCTTTTTATTACACCGGTTACGAATCCGGTGACTATGTAATTGGCTCCGAGTTCGCGTGAACGTTTCTCGCGAGCGAAAACCAGAGGCGTATTCTCGATGTTTCACGTTTTACTTTATAGAAGCCAAAGGTCAATTTTCTTTCCGCTTGTCATTAAAACCGACGCACTCCATAATAATAACCACGTCGCCTCACAAATTTCCGAGTGAAATAACTTGGAGCGTTATAACGGGAAAATAATTCCGTCTCTGCGATTTTGCGACTCGCGAGCGATCCGAGGTTCTCGTCTTATCTCCAAGAGGTAATTATGTGACCGGAGTAAGCGCAATTCCCGGTGACGCAATTGCACTTATTCTTATTCAGATTATCACGATGTTTTCTACTTCCGAGCAAATCAAACGTTAGGTAATTCAAAATTAATAATTTTTTTTAGATTTTTGTTTGCATCCATCTCTCTCTCTCTCTCTCTCTCAAAATCTTTTGGAAGGAAAGTGGAAAACTAGCCGTAATCATTCGGATCTGTGATGCGTTTTTGCTGGTGTAATGTATCGGTCCTATTCCACCAACGGACGTATCGATACCGAGCTGTCAAATGCGCAGCAACATACATCGGTTCGTGGAAATGCGACCAGAAGCACCGTTGGTCAAGATTAGAGAGTATACGAGTGCGGATACTGGGAAGATAAGCAAAATCCTGGTACCCTTTATCGTATCCCACCTGCATCCTGTGACACGAGTCGTTGATATTGCGGCTTTAGAGTCCTGGAACTGTCAAATGGTGGATTGATTGGCTAGGATTTATGAGACACTGTTGATCTGACTTACCATACCTTCGAAAAAAATAATATTTTTGTATCCCGTCACAGAGAAAAAGTTTTTTTAATTTTATTTTTATCGCTTTTGCCAGGATGAATACAATTTCATAGCTGCTGTCACTAGTAAATTACTTTTGTACTTCGTACATTGCTATGAGAGAAGTATATTTTTTTGGTAATTGAGATATTATTGATCTAGCTTTCAGCATTCTTTTAAAAGAAATTAATATTTTTGTATTTCGAAAAAAAAAACTTTCTTTTGTTTTTATTACATTTGCTAAAATGAATAAAATTTTGTAGTTGCTGCAATCAGTAAATTAAGTTTGTACTTTATACATCACTACGAGAAAAACGTTAATTTTTTTAGTAATTGAGATATTATTAATCTAACTTAGCAGCATACTTTTGAAAAAAGTATTTCTGGAGTTCTAGGTTCAAATTCTGGCTAAAAGGCAATACTTTTTACAATAAAATTATTTACATTTAAGATTCTCAATAACATCTAATTATTAGTATTTCTAGAAAAGTACTTATTAGTATCAAAAATTACTAAAGTGCTTGTCAATGTAACAAGTGATATTCCCACTCTGATTTTGCTCATGATTGCGTTTCAATACCGGAAAAGATTTCAGAGCGCAGTTTGTAGAATCGGATATTTATTTGGTAACTGTTTTTCGACTCGCTCTTCGATACAAATGCTAAAATATTTTTAATTATCTTTATTTTACCAAAGAGGATATTTCTGATTGAGGTCACAGATATATATCTATATGAAAAAAAAGTAGAATATTTTGCTTTACTACGAAGAATAATTTAACTTGAATCTTCTGCAAGAAGTGCACTCGATTGGCGTACTCGATCGAGTGCTGCAATGTCAATGGAATTTTAATTCGCGTTTCGATACGTGAATATTCTATAGCACTCTTTCAGGACAATCGCATTTCACCGAAGCGACGTAACGAATACATAATTGCATTTGATTGTCCCTTTTACGTTCAGTGGAATTCCGCGAAATGGACAATTGAGTAAAGTTAAGAGTCCCATCAATAAATAATTGATTCGGATAGTACGGTATTCGCAACGTCTCACACTCCAGTGATTTATCTGCCGTTCCGTACGTCGATCGTGTCGTCGATCAATAATGCACAACCGGAAGGGAGTTTGGTCTCCATCCGTTCTCTCCTTTCGTTCGCCCTAACTTCCTCCCCTAAACCTAGTCTAGTCTTCGCGCTCGATCGGGTGGAAGTCGGTAGCTGTCGTGGAAGATAATCTTGGATCTTGTCGTTTGACTGTATTTGCGTGCCAGACTACGGGCCTCTTCCACCTTCGCTTAACTCGTCGCTTAAACTTTGTTGCGCTGTTTACTGTTTCAGGTGACCGCCGCTGATACGCGAAACGGGGCCGGAAGTCTCGTGCCTCGCAGTGGCCTTGTTCTGCCGGGCGAAAGACAAATCGGGCGGAAACGTTCGTCGACAAGGACCGACGATGAGCTAGCGACACCATCATGCATAGGATGAAGCAGCGCGCGCTGCACGCCTGGCCATGGTTGTGGCTGTGGCTGTTTGCGGCCACGGCAGGCTCCCCGTCTTCCGACAACCCCATGCCGACGACTCTTCTGCCACTACGTGGCGGCGGGGATGGAGGCGTGGGAAACGACGACGGCGATGGCAACGGCGATTTAATGAAGCCGTCGATCGATACCGCAACGACCTTGCCGATCACTTTTGACGCGAATTTTTCTTCAGAACTCGAGTTCCGTTTCACGCAATCTCGATACAACGTCTCCATTCCTGAGAATTCCATCGGCAAGACGTACGTCGTGCCCGACGAGAGGATGGGCATACAGCTCGCGTCCGCCGATAGTGACGTTGATGTTAAGTTTCGTATAATGAACGGCGATCGCGAAAAGTTCTTTAAAACAGAGGAGCGAACGGTCGGTGATTTTTGCTTTCTCCTGATTCGGACTCGAACCAGCAATGTCGATGTGCTGAATCGCGAACGCAAAGACCGATACGAGCTTGTAGTGCGTGCCACCTGGAGTAAACGCGACGGTAGAAACAGAGCAAACTTACTCGAAGCGGACACCACGGTGATAGTGAAGATTCTCGACACAAACGATCTCAATCCACTGTTCTATCCGATCGAGTACGAAACCACCGTGACGGAGGACACGCCTTTGCATCGCAGCATACTCAGGGTAATCGCCGAAGACGCCGATCTCGGCAAAAATGGCGAGATTTACTACAGCTTCGCTGAGGAGACTGATCAATTCGCCATTCATCCGGTCAGTGGCGTAATAACGCTCACAAGACCGCTCAGGTAAGTGTACAGTGGCATATTTTTTCTTGATATCTCAAATTTATAACAAATAATAGAAAGAATCTTATTTTCGGTCTAATTGTTAAGATTATTACGCGCTAACACTGCACTGTTAGTTATCGAAGGAGCAGTGGTAACTTAATCTCTTGAGTTAATAACATCGTGTTGTTATTTTCGACTTCTATGTAGACTTGTCAGTCAATCTATTTCTGTGGTTTCAAAGTAAACGCAATATCCATATTAATATACGTAAACAATAAACTGAATTTAAGTTAAATTTAATTTTCTTGAGTTAAATCGTTTAACTCCATTGTTTTAGTTAAATTAACGTTGAGTACCTAAAAGCAGCGATGCCTATAGAAATGATTAAAAATAATTCGAAGCAAGTGTTATTTGACATTATGAATTGAAGTATAATATTTCCTCTCCAACTAAAAAGGATTCTTTCTATTATTTATATAATTTACTTATATCGGTCTAATTTTTACATATAATTAAAATTATAAATAATACATCGAAAATAACTAGGTTGAAACAAAGTTTGTAATCACGACTTTAAAGCACTTTGAGAGTATAATTTTAATTAATTCGAACGGGAGTTTAATAAATCATTTTATTGATTTTGAAAATAATAAAAGTTATAAATATAATTTTAATTTTACTATTTTAACTTAGAAAAAGATTCAAATTTAAACTACTTAGAACCAAGAGATAAATATATCAACTTTCATGAATTTTTTAGATTAGTTACGACTTTTTTCTATTATTTTCCCCCTTGCTTTGCATATTTCAAATATTTATCTTGTACAACTTTGTGGCTGTTAATTTTTATTTGCACGTGCTGTTAGTTTAGCGGAGCTTATTAGAATATTAAATAACCTCTTTTTCTCCGTCTAATCTATCCATTAGAATTGTATATGCCAAAATGTTAGCAAACAGTTCGCTTTTTCTGTTAGGTACGCGGAACGCGCCATACACGAGCTGGTAGTCCTAGCGAAGGATCGCGGCGCTTTGTTTCGCAGCGCGGGTAGTAGCCGCGCGAGCACCGCCAAGGTCACGATCAGGGTACGGCAGGTGAACTTGTACGCACCTGAGATTTACGTGCATCAGCTGCCCGATATCGTCGAGAATTCGAACGCCGATATTTACGCGATCGTGCGAGTGATTGATCGTGACGACGGCGTACACGGCCAAATCGCGAGTCTTGACATCGTGGGCGGTGATCCGGCCGGCCACTTCAGAGTGCGTCCGGCCGGCGGGCCACGCTCCGGCGAGTACAACATCGAGGTACTGCACCTGCTTGATCGTGAGACTGCGTTGCAGGGTTACAATCTTACCCTGCGCGCCATGGACCGTGGGGTGCCGCAACGATATAGTTACAAATTTGTGCCGGTGCACTTGGTCGACGTGAATGACAACGCCCCGGTGTTCAGTCGCGAGATCTACGAAGTCAAAGTGCCAGAAACGGCGCCCATCAACACGCCGATCATAAGACTTAAGGTCACAGACGCCGACGAAGGGAAGAACGCATTGGTATATCTCGAGATAGTCGGCGGTAACGAGGGTGGTGAGTTTCACGTGAACGCTGAGACTGGTATGTTGTATACCGCTGTCAATCTGGATGCTGAAAAGAAAGCGTTTTACACGCTGACGGTTTCGGCGATTGATCAAGGCAATGCCGGCACCAGGAAACAATCCTCGGCGAAAGTGAAGATCAACGTGGTCGACACCAATGACAACGATCCAACCTTTGACCAGCCGGAAATGGAGGTGATGCTAGATGAGAATGAGCCGGCCGGCACGTCCGTCGTGCGAGTTACTGCGAAAGATCGTGACTCCGGCGAAAACGCTTACATATCTTACAGCATCGATAACCTTAAGAAAGTACCGTTTGAAATCGATCATTTCTCCGGTATCGTCAAGACCAAACAGGTGCTGGACTACGAGACTATGAAGCGGGAGTATTTATTGCACGTGCGGGCCAGTGATTGGGGCCTGCCCTATCGACGTCAGGCGGAGATGCAATTACGAGTGAAACTGCGGGACGTGAACGACAATCGACCACAGTTCGAGCGGATCGACTGTACCGGTCACGTGCCGCGATACGTATCGATCGGCTCTGAGATCATCACCGTGTCCGCGATCGACTTCGACGCCGGGAACATCGTCAGTTACCGCATAGTGTCCGGCAATTCTGACGGTTGTTTCGCTCTCGACTCAGCCAGCGGCGTCCTCTCGGTCGCTTGCGATCTGTCGGACGTCAAGGCGACCGAGAGAACTATCAATGTTACCGCCACTGACGGCACACACTTTGCGGACGTCAATCCCGTGCACATACATCTTGTGAACGCCAAACGGAATCTGGGCTCACAGGCGAGAATCCTGACAGATGAAACCGGTGCTTTCGAATGTCACGACACCGGCGTGGCGCGTAGACTGACGGACGCGATCGCCTCGGCAGAGAAGAACAACATGCCGTCACGGGACGACGAGTACACCTTGATACCGAGTCGTTACGGTGAGAACGTGCACGCGCCTGAGTTCATCGATTTTCCGAATGAGATACGGATCAATGAATCGCTCAAACTCGGTACGGTTCTCGTGCGAATACGCGCTCGTGATCGCGACCTCGATTACAATGGTAAGCTTGTCTTCGTCATATCCAGTGGTGACCGCGACTCCGTCTTTGGCATCGATCCGGATACTGGTGATCTAAACACGATCGGTTATTTGGACCGCGAGCGGGAGAGCGAGTACTACCTGAATATAAGTGTATTCGATCTGGGCAAACCGCAGAAGTCCGCCTCAAAAATGCTACCGATCACTATTTTAGACGTCAACGATAACGCGCCCAAGTTTGAGAAGTCATTGGCAAGTTTCAGGATCTCCGAGACTGCGCTGAACGGCACCAACGTATGGCGCGCCAACGCTACTGACTCTGATCTCGGTGACAACGCGCGAATAACTTACTCTCTCGTGACGGAAACCAATGACTTCCGTGTGGATCCTGTGACGGGTGTACTGAGCGTCTTCGGCAAGCTCGACAGGGAACGACAGGAGATATACGAGCTGAGGATTCGCGCGCGTGATAATAGCAACGATACACCACCCTTACACTCGGATGCGCTCGTCAGGGTAACGGTCGATGACGTCAACGACAACGCGCCTACCTTCGCGCTATCGAATTACAACGTCAAGATCCGCGAAGACGTGCCGATATGGACCGTCGTGGCCGTTGTCGATGCCACGGATCCCGATGAAGGCGCGGGCGGTGATGTGGAATACTTCTTGTCGGACGCGATGGAGAGCGAAGGCTTCTTCAAGGTCGACAAAGTGTCGGGCACAGTGAGAACAACGCAGAGCTTGGACTTTGAGGAGCGGCAGGTGCATACGCTGACGATAGTCGCGCGTGATCGTGGTGAGCCATCCTTGTCTTCCGAGACGATGCTCGTAATCGAGGTGATTGACGTGAACGAGAACCTTTATACGCCAGTCTTCGATGACTTTGTCGTGTCCGCGAGTGTCTTCGAAAACCAACCCATTGGCACCCTCGTTACTACTGTTCGAGCGAAGGACGCGGATCCTCCCGGCGGAGATTCAAGAATCGGATACAGTATTCGTGGAGGCGACGGCGTCGGAATTTTCTCCATCGACAATGAAGGTGAGTGATTAAAATAGATTATTTAAAACGCGTGATGCGCCTATCTGTGAATTTTTTGTCCGCATGAAAAATAATTTTTTTGAAATATTTAAAAATTCAATGAAATACGGATTTGAAAATAATTTAGACTATCAAAAAAAAAAAATTATGTAGGACACATTCAAGCTGGTTACTACAATATAAAATTCTAGCAATCAGCTTGAGTGTTCTACGTAATTATTTTAATAGTTCAACAAAATTATTTCCAAATCTGTATCTAGTTAAATTTTTACACATTTTAACAACGTTTTTTATTCATTATTTCCATTCGTCAGCTTATAGCTGAAAATAATGTTTTTTTTATTTTAAACGAAATAAACATATAGCTCGAAAGATTTTACCTATTTCTAAAAATAACCCACTAATAATAGTTGCACATAACTGATTTAAAAAATAAGTAAACCGTTTAAATATATCCAAGGAATTAATAAATATCCGTATTAACTAATAAGATACGCGAGCAGAAAAATTCTTCACGTTTAAAAAAGGAAAAGTATTGAAATGATGAAAATGAAATGAAGATAGAAAGCCTGCGATTTTCTAGAACACACTGTTGAACTTTAATCGATATTGGCTGTGGGCACTCTTCGGCAATAACTTCTACGTCTATATACGCTCCACGTAAATCGCCGCGCTCATATTGAATCCAAGAATTTCCAATCAAATATCGCAAGATGTGCGCTTCCTTTGAGGAAGGAGCGAAACGAATATCTGGGCCTTACCAAGATTTCCCAATATCCCGTTCAATAACCAACGAATGGAGTCCCGCGCGACGAGTTAAACACATTCGACCTCGCGTGTAGCAGCAATTTCAATTTACTCGTCAAAACGACCGCGCATATACGTATGTACGCTAGCTAGAGTTCATAAATGTCTTTACGTTAATAGGTACTTTTAAAAGGCCTAGAAAAAAAAGACGTCTACATATTCATAAATCACGACGTTCCTACTAGATAAATAGGAGACGCTGAGTGGTAACTGAGAGAGGTAGCATTTGACATGTGTCATAATTCAAACGCGACACAGGTCAAAGCGCGTGTGCGAGGATTTAAATTTGTGTCAAATAATTCAATAGAAAATTCATTATTTTAGTTTCTTATTCTTGTAATGAATTTTTTTATTTTAATTTTTTTTTATTTAATTTTAATTTTCAATTTTTGTTTAATTGATTGTTTTTTATTTTAATTTTAATATAATTAAACTTATATCAGTATATAATTAACTTTACAAATACATGACGTTTTCTTGAAAAGAACTCGCACGGAAACGTTCGCTTATTGTACGGAAATGTCTTCTTTTTTACATTTCTTTTCCGGGTACTTCTGTTGGCCCTTCGGGCACAAAAGGGCGCGCAACGTGCGCACTGTGCCCTTTCTGCAGGAAAGGACATGGCCCGCGCCGGACGCGTCGTGGCATCGTTCCAAGACGAAGTTGCAGGCGTCGCGGCCCATTAAATTTCGATGCAGCGAGCCTAATTGAATTACGGTGCCGCAGGACCCCCTTTTTTCGAGTGCGCGAGACGCATTAAATTTCTCCGGCAGTCTCCTTTCACCGCGGAAACGTCTCTCGAGAAATCGCACGTCATTCCGCTTAATGGCTAATTCCTGTGTACCGGTGCCACGTCGGTCACGGCGGCGGTCATAATGCATCGATGATCGTTTCTTGATGAATGCACCGGGCGGGACGAATGTCTCAAAACGAAATAGGTTTCTTGCTAATTCACGAGACACGCGAAAACGACGCTTTGACGCTCACGTTAGGCAGCATTGAGATCTGTGGACTGTTGATGTATCTCGGAAAAATTGAACGCGATTACGCTTGAAGTTTATTTGATGGACAAGAACAATTTTTTATGACAGTTTTTCACGTGTCTTGCGATGGTATTTTTGAGATTCAGTACAGTTATTATTCTCAACTTTTAACCGAGTAGGCAAGGTCGCCACAACATGGATTTAAATTTACTTCAAATTTATAGTGTAAATATCGTTAGATTCAAATCATATTTTAGCAAAGGCAATAAACAAATTATTTAATGAGATACCATTCCTAGAGGATTAAAGTACATTACTTTTATATTTCCCTTAAGAATATGACTAACGTAACTATAACATAATATATTTATTAGGAAAAAATATAATTAGAAAATTAAAATTTTTTTGGACTATTCTGAATACCTTCACCTATCTACTTAAAAGTTAAGGATGAATTGCGATAATTGTTTCGACTTATGTAATCGTTCGTGAAACATATTGATGTAGGTTAAAAAATATATGGCATTCATCGCCGTTGCTCGGGCACGTTCAACATGTTTTCAACGTTCGCTGAAATAGAATACGATCGTATACACTGCACGTTGAAGTAAATGGTTTCGTATATGCGTGTACATTCGCATATACGTTCATAAACTTGACGTACGAATATATACGATGCTATTTCACTGTGTGCCAACCGTCAATAATCAATCTTAACAAAATTTTAAATCTTCGTGAGCGTTTTATGAAAAGCCATCATTCGTTTATTCCGCGAACTTCATATATGTTAATCTTTTGAAAGAGATGAAACTTCAAATCAAATAATTCCTATCGAGTCAAATTTCTTTAATTCAAATGAAAAACAAAAGTTTTCGCCACGCGTTTCTATTCCAATCAAAGCTTTACTTTGTGTCTTTATATTTTTTGCGCAAAATTTGCTATTAGCAGTTGATACAATAAAACTCGAACACTCTGTGTACGCACGCGCTTCCGTTGTACACTTCTGTTTTCACGCGCGCGCGTGTATGTGTGTATGTGTCGCGCAGTAGTATATTGATCTCCCGTCGAGCAAAAATAATACATTGTCAGTAGTATGCATATTCAACTGGCGTAAATATTCATAAGTCGCCGGTGTATTGCCGCGGTGTCAGAAGCACAAGCGGTAACGTCGGCGACGTCGATGGGAATTGTGGTGCGGTGATAATGGCAGTGACGGTGTTGGTGGTGCCAGTAATGGTAGCGATAGCTGTGACGGTGCTCGTTTAAGTCGCGAATAATTTCCCGGTGGATACTTAGGATCTATGGCAGGCACGTGATATCATTCACGCGTAAGTCGATGTTCCTTGTGTCGCGCGAGAGAGTTGTTATCTCTCTCGGAATCGAAAAGTATAATAACGCGTGCTACTACGAAACTAAAAAATCGAGTCTTTGCTTTTATCGTTCCTTGATTGTTAATCTGTTCCCCCTTTTTTCATTATAATTAAAAAATGTCGATTTGCGCAAATTCACTGAGAAAAAAAATATATTTGGTTTATATTTGTGACTATAATTCAGTGGTAAAATAATTATGGTTAGAAGCTCCAGTTTCATAGTTATTACTGCTATAATGTTATAATAATAATATGGTCATATGTAATTGATATGGGCAAATTTTAATATACATTATTTTGATTGTTAAGTAATGCAAAATCAAGGTTAATTATTGATTTACTTATCGCGTTTGTGGTTCCACTAAAAAATATACATACAGTTAGAATTAAAAAGTATTACTCAATTGTACTCAAATTAAAATAATTACAAAACTTATTCTCCCAGTATGTATTATCTATTTAGAATTTTTTTTTTAATTTCTGTGGTATAATAAAAATATCTGACGTTTTCTCTTGTCGTCGAAACAATATATTCCTGTCAACACAATTTGCGTCGAAACGACGCACAGCTTGACGCGCCGTGACTAAACGCGATTAAGCTCCGATCGTTGTAGAAAAGTGCCACACCTAGTTTGCGGAGCACCCGACGAACGAGTCAGGCGACGCGTTTTCCGGTAAGTGAGCTAACGCGTCATTCCGGCCGGTTCTGTCCATTCTATGCTAGCCGCGGGCATTGCAACGACGGGCGTTAATCCATTAATAAAGCTTTATATATCAACGAGCATCCCCGAAAGCTTACCCGAGTTTGATCGTCAGCGAAGCGAAGGAAAGCTCGCGATCCGCGTAGTTTAAAGCAGATGGATTGGTATCCGGAAATAGCTGATCTTTCCTGCTCGCTCCCATCCTCTCTCGTTATATAATTCCAGGTAGAGTCATCTTCATTTTTGCATCTCTTTTTATTTGATAAAACCGACACATTAATTCTTAATTCAGAAAATTTGAGAAATTTGCGGAAAGACGGATAGCATACCGCTATTCACGTGATGCGAGAAACGTGTGTCTCTTGCGCGTCGTTGTCTCGTTAACATTCGTGTTGAGAACTTGTACTAATTCAGCGCTCAATTAGAAAGGTTAAAGAGATGTTAATTCGCCCATTGTTGTGGATCCTCTTACAAATTGCGAAGAAACTCTTCGCCTCGAGTATATTGAAATATATTGGATCAATAAACTGTTTCCCGGTCGATTGTCATTATCCATTGTAATACTTGGAATAAGCGGTATAATCGGTTTTACTGTAAATACGTATCGAACAGTTGTAACGGTTACGGAGCTTCGTTCTCGAATTCATCGCACATAGACAACACGGATGCGATCGACTATTTCTGGAAGATATTTAACGTTGGACATTTATTTCGGATGAATCGAGACAGTTGTAACGGTTACGGAGCTTCGTTCTCGAATTCATCGCACATAGACAACATCCACACGGATGCGATCGACTATTTCTGGAAGATATTTAACGTTGGACATTTATTTCGGATGAATCGGTATATCAGCACAAATAATATCGTAAATTATACGCGTAGTGGTCGTAAAGTCGTCCCGAATTGCTTTCACTGACAAACCATTGTACTTGTATTCATCCCACAAACCGTTTCGCGATATTCATCCATCCGGAATGCTTTCTGTATTATCAAGCAGCTCTAGCGAGGCTTTCGAATATAGACGCTAGCTTTGCCGTTTCTCCGTATTTCTCTGCAGTTTCTCTTCTTTAATGCAACGATGCAACTAAATAATTACGTCGTGGCGGTGCTAAAGTCAACTTCGACGACATCGTACTTTCCTCTT